TTTAACTATGGTATGGTAAGAAATATACTATATAAATTTATTCATTAAATACTTAAATATCACACCTACTTAGCTGGTACCAAAAAAAAGGGAAAGGTTTCCATACTTCCCCTACGGCCGTCCAATTTTGATCAAGAGAGCCACTCACCATTTGATCTTAGATTCGACGTCTCGAACTATTTTATTTTTAGTTTATTTTATAAATATAAAATTTGGTGCGTGCCATCTTCTCATTGGGGCACACCTATAAAAAATATTTAAAATAATTTTTTGATAAAATATTATGATCAAAATACCCCCTAAATCTTTTAGGGGTATTTTTTATCATTTTATTTGATTGAAATATTTTTTTTAATATTTTCACTAGTACGAGTTCAACATAGAATTGGACGTTCAAAATTTAGTGTCAAAATAGTTTATAGAAAAAAAAAAACTAAAAATAAAATAGTGTAGAGACGTGACATTGTAATTGGGACAATCTTAGCCCTCCATTCAGAATGGACGGTTGGATAAATGGTAGTATATAACTTTTATGCTGAAGAAGAGGCATAAAAAGCTTGCCAACAAAAAAATACATGATTTTTGCTTTCTCATTACAATGATTGAACTATGGTTTAGTTACTATGGTCACTCCATAACTATGTTAAAGTTTTATAAATTTCTTTAATTGAAAAGAGGCTCGTAGAAATTTGGGTTTGAAAAGAAGGAAGAAGGAAGAGAAGAGACAAGAAGGAAGAAGGAAGAGAAGAGAGAAGAAGGAAGAGAAGAGAGAAGAAGGAAGAAGGAAGATAAGATAATAGGGCTGAGCTCATAGCAATTAGGGTTTATAAAGAGAAGAATAAGGAAGAAGAAAGAGGTCATGGGCTTCACAAACCCTAATGGAAGAGGCCCTAACTGATTTTTAGAGACAAAAAAGGAAGATGGGATGCGGCTTGGGATAGTTTGAAGAGGGTTTTTTTTTTCTCTGATTTGGGATAGTTTGAAGAGGGTTTTTCATTTTTTTAGGGAAACAACAAGCAAAGCTGAAGGCTTAAGTTTGGGGAACTAATCCTATATGTACAATTGCTTAATCTTGTAAGTTTACATATTACACAATCAAAAACAAAATATTGATTACTTGGTCCAGTAGTCATACTCTCTGCTTCCATTCATCATTAAAAGACTATTGTTTTGAGTTTTAATTAGTGCCATAAACAACATTTTCATAAAAACAATTATCACAAATAATCACAGAAATCTGCATGTATATGATTTCTTTACACAATGATTTGCTTTACAAAATGATTTGCTATAAACAATATTTCATTTACACAGTGATTTTCTAGAATAACAATTGAAATCTGCATCTATTTGTTTAAGTTTTTTTTAAAAAAATCATACCATCAATATGCAACTGTGGCTTTGAAGAACACAATGGGAATAAAAGTTTCTATTTTAGTTTTTTTTTGGAAATAATATATTTTTTTTTCAAAAGCATGAAAGTAGCAATAGGTCCTTTTTTTTGAAATAATTTTTTTTTCAAAAGCATGAAAGTAGCCATGGCTGCAATACGCAAAACAGTAAAAAAAAAAAAAAAGATAAAAAAGGATACGATTTTTTTGCCTAATTTAAATCAAATTATGAAAAAAGCACGTTTTAAATGGTTTTATGAAAACTACGCGACTTTTTTTTTCAACCTTTTAAAAAAGTCACCGTTTAAAATTATTTATATAAAAATGCCGAAGTTTCAAAAAACTCACTGATTAAACAGTGATTTGCCAACTACGGGTAGACCCTCAGGTCGGGTCCGGGTCATAATTAGCAAGTCGAGGACTATCAATAAATCGGCTCACCATAAAATCGGAAACAAATCATTGTCATTTTAAAAAGTCGGATGAAAAAGTTAGGTAAAAATACGGATCGGCAAAAATATTTCATATAAAGATATTGTTAATATATCAGATTAGGCTAAAAAAGTGAAGTAAAAAAATCAGATAAATTTATAATATTAGAAATTTTTAAATTCTAAAAAATAAAAATTATGTCAGAGCTATCAATAATTAATTCATCTATAAAAACTTTACTCGACTAATATAATGAAGTCAATTAATTTAGATGCTTCGTAACTTTGATGCAATCCTCCAATATTAAATACATAATTACTTAGTACATACCAAAAAAAAATTATACCATATAAATCTACCCATTACATACCAAAAACAAATATACTATATATTCATTAAATACTTTAACATCACACCTACTTGGTAGGTACAAAAAAAAATACTGATTTTTTTTTCTCATTACAAGCATTCAACTATAGCATGGTTACATCATGGCTATGGTTAAAGTTTTATGAATTTCTTTACTTGAATTGACAAGTGGCCCCATAGAAATTTGGGTTTCACAGCTCTCTTTTTACAGTTTAGAGAGAGGAGGAAGAAGGAAGAGATGAAAATGGGTTGAGCTCATAGCCAGGGTTTATAGAGACAGAAGAATGAAGAACGAAAAAAGAAGAGCTCATGGGGAAACAACAAGCAGAGCTATGGAAGAGGCCCTAACTGATTTTTAAAAAGAGAAAAGAAAGATGGGATGTTGATTTGGGATAGTTTGAAGATGGCTTTTCTCTCAGATTTGGGATGTTGTTTGAGAGAACGCCCTAACTATATTGATTTGTCAAGAAGCCTTAACTGATTTTTAGAAAGCGAAAAAAAAGAGGGTTTTCCATTTTCTTGGAGAAACAACAAGTAGAACTAAAAAAAGAGGCTTTCTTGGGGAAACAAGCCGAGCTAAACAATTGCTTGCTCCTGTAAGTTTACAATTTACACTATATTGTTATCTTTGTTATCACATAATCAAAAGCAAAATATCGATTACTTTGTCATGTAGTCACACTCTATGCTACTCTCTGCTTCTCATTCATTAGTAAAAGACTGTTTTGAGCTCTAATTTGTGCCATAAATAGTATTTCAATAAAAACAATTATCACAAATAATCACATAAATTTGCATGTATATGATTTTCTTTACACAATGATTTACTTTACAAAATGATTTGTTATAAACAGTATTTCATTTACACAATAATTTTCCATAATAACACTGATATCTGCATCTATTTGTTTAAGTTTTTTTAAAAAAAAGAAAAAAAAATAATCATACCTTCAATATGCAATTGTGGCTTTGAAGAATATAGAGGGGATAAAAATTTCTATTTTAGGTTTTTTTTAAATAATTTTTTTTTCAAAAGCATGAAAGTAGCAATGGCTTCAATACACAAAACGGGAAAAAAAAAATCTTTAAAAAAATAAATTATAGATAAAAAAAATATGCGATTTTTTGGCCAGATTTAAATCGTGTTATTAAAAAAATACGTTTTAAACGTTTTTTTAAAAAGTAAGCGAGTTTTTCCGATCTTTTAAAAAATCGTCGTTTAAACTGTTTCCAGAAATCTCCGATTGTTTGAAAAACTCGCCGATTAAAAGGCGATTTGCTAACTATGGTCCGGGTCCATTGCGACCCCTTACGTAGATTGGTCTTTCACTAGGAAGTAACTGGACATTATGTTCCCTCGGGAGTATAAAATCCAAAAAAAATATATCTAAAAATAGATATTCGAATCCTGTGTCGAGCTGACTGATCCGAGCAACGAGCACTGTCTTTCACCTCGCGAGTCCATAAACCCTAGTTTCTACATTTACAGAGCTCCACGTTCACGCTTACCATACCATTATTCCACTTTCTCTTACTAATTCATTCTAACCCTCTGTTGCATTAATTTTTTCTCTATCCTTTTTCATTCTTCATTCTCTCTCAGCATGACTGGAATCAGCAGCAGAAGGACAGCGAGGAGCAGGAACAGACAGTCTAATGACGAAGATCCTTCGTCTCAGACCCATAACCTAGTTCCTAATCTCCTAAGAGAGAGACGAAGAAAGCCTGGCTTGCTCAGGGTTGCAGAGTTCAATTTGAAGGCTATTTTAGGGTTTTGTGTTCTCGGGTTATTTATCTGGCTTGTGATGTATAATTCTTTGTGGTTGCGTGATAATGCGAATCTACCTCGGGTTGTCACTCCATTGCCTGCTCCCAAGATGATGGACCTGCCTCAGGTATGATTGGAATAAGGTTATCGGGTTTTAGCGTTTTGATGAGATTTTGAAATTCAGGATTTTGATTGGATTTCTCATTGATGGGTCCGGAGAAGGTTGCATAGATAAGTTGAAAAATTGAGGTTTTTTTTGCAGTTGTTTTTTTGTTTTTTTTTGGTGTGGGGAATGGTTGAATTTCGCTTTTGAAATATATGGATTTGATCAAGGTTCATTTACTCTGCTTGTGCTCGGGACTCCTGCCCTGCTGGAGCCGAGTAACATGGGCAATACTCGGACTCTCGCAAGTAGTGTATGAGGGCAAAAAAGAGCTAACATTTGAAAACACAGTGTTACCAGACTTGGCTGACGCCCCAAGTCGTATGTACAACTTGGGGTACCTATTCACCCAACAAAAACTTGGAGTACATAAAAAATTCAAAGAATTCCAAAAAATATTATAAAAATATGGGATTGTTGTAGATATTTTATATATGATTTGGATGTTTTTGACCAAGATTAGTAAGTTTGTTTTTGCCATAATCCCTACTTTCATATTTTCTCTTTTTTGGATATGTCAAATGTCCCAATTAGGAATCAATTTTTTTTACTTCCATTTTTTCTATTTTTTAAGCTTATTTGGACTTTTTAAGGATGCTTTTATTTAACTTCTACTACTTCAAATTTATTTTTCATATTTTTCTATTTTTCATTTTTCTAGAGCATTGGGTGCTCAAGGTGAGTGAAAAAGTCATAAGAAAATTGTTTAAAAATAAAAAAATAAACTATAAACAAAGATTATATCTTGCTACACATGTTCATCTAATCTCTGGCTTGATTGTAGATTCTTTTTTGTCCAACAAAAGGAGCCATTGAATTTTTTTTTTTTGACGAAAACATCCAATCCTTTAATGGAATAACCTTGTGTGTTAAGGAAAAAAATGGCTCCTGGATCCCGCCCTTTACTTCCACCTCAGGCCATGACAAAGGGAAATCGCCTATGTTGTCCATCAGCCCCCTTCTTCCTCCTGCCTCCACCTCCCCTTAGCACCAGGCATCTGCCTGTGCCGACCTCTCAGCCCCCTCCTATTGGCCCGCCCCCAATCTACCTCACTTATGTTCACCTTCTCAAACCCCACTCACTTGGTTGTACCTCTAACCCTCACTCATTCGCTAACCTTGGTGGTGCTCCTAAACGCCCTCCACCCAGGAGTCCTCTATCCCTCCACCACCCTCCTGCCGCCCTTTCGGCATTGATCCTTCTTGCTTCCTCTTGCTTTGCCCTATTCCTCCCTCGGAATCTGCTATCCGTTTGGATGGGGCTTTGGTCAACACTTTTTGTCCTCGCAGAGACGATTTACGGGGTATCGAGATATGGGCTCAACCTTTTGAAAAGACCCAGAACTGTCCTACATATGTTTCTCTGAAGGAAGAATTCTTTCTTTCTTCTTCTCCTCATCGGGGTCCCTCGAATCCCTCAACTCGCCGTCTCCCTCCTTCAGAAGAGCTTCCCTCTCATTGTGCGTTTGGTCAACATCTACTGATGCCTCCCGATCGCTAAAAGTGTGGCTCCGCATTGACAATGTCCCTTTGCATGCTTGTCACCCTCTAACCTTCTTTGCTATAGGGGCCAAGTGTGGGAAACTCATTGCCACCAACAGGCAATTGTGCAAATACCTCCCCTTAGGTGCCATCCTCCTCCTGGACGAGGTCCTGGACCTTGCCTCTATCCCACCTACCCTTTGGGCATGCCTAGTCGACGATCTTTTTCGGCTGTCTTGGCAGCCTCACCCAATGCCCTTCAATCTTCTGCCATCTTGGCTGAGCCCTCTGATGGTTGGACTACAATTTGTAGGAATGGTAGACGCTTTCCGGTGGGTGGTCCTAGCGCTATTCCTTGCAAACCCCGCCTTCCCCCTAGGGGTCTTGTGTGGAACCTTGGTGGAGGTCACCACCCTGTTCGGTGGAGTTTTCTGGCCATGGAGATTGCCGCGCTCCGTGCCCCAACCTTCTCCCCGCCAAACGTTGCCTTTACCTTGGGCCTTGTGTGTTCACCATCATTTGCCCCCCGCCCCCTCTTGCTGCCTTGCTTTCGGCTTGAGGAATGTTCCCTCGCCTCGTAGCCCGATATCATTTCTCACCTCCACGTGCCCATCGCCTCACTCCTGTGCCTACGTGAGGCCCCGCCAGTTGCCCTCTCTACATCGGGACACGTGATCCACCCATCATTCCTTTCTCGGCATTCATTGCCTCATCGTACCAGCCTTGAGGATCGTGCACTTGCCCAACGGCTTTCTACTACCACCCACTGCTACATCGATGGCAGCCCTGTTTCCTTGGCTTCCTCGCCTGAGGCTCTTGCATCACTCAATACGAGGGGTCAAGTGACCCCTTCTGCCTCTCCTCTCCATCCTTCTGCTGCCACGTTCGGCCCTCCTCCCTAGCCTTTAATCTCCCTTTCTCCCTCACCCTGCCACGGTAACCCTCCCGTGCCAGCTCAGCCACCTGCCCCCTCCTGCTTGACCTTCGATCTTTCTATCTCTGACACCTCGCCATGGCCCCCCCTCCATCCCCACCCCTTATCCTTTTCTCCCCGGTAACAATCTGTCGCCATCTCTGGCCATCCCTCTCTCCTCCCTCGTTGATACCCCTCTCCTTCTCTCGTACCTCGAGCCCCTCACCTCACCCTATCCTTCCCCGTTTGCCAGCTCACCCCTTGGCCCCTCTGTTCTCTTCCTTCTTGGGCGTCTTTCTGCCTCCCTTTGCTGAGCCCTCTGTCCTTCCTCCTTTGTCACCTCCCCAGCGATTCAAAAAGCGGACCGCCCATCTCCTAGGCTGTCCAAAAGGCCTGGGAGCATCGCCAAGGCCTAGGTGGCCAATCTTGGCGGCAGTCCCTGGGCGGCCGCCTAGGCGGTACGAAACCCGCCTAGGTGGGTGCCCCGCTCAGAGGCGGAATTCTGTTTTTTTTTTGTATTGATGTTTTTTTAAAATATAAAGGGTTAGAAGGATGGTTTTAAGTTCATTTGAAACCTAAAACTTATTGGAGCTTATTTTAGAGAGAGAAAGCCAAAAAATTAGTTTTTGGTGATTTCTTTAGGATCGAAGGGTTTTCAAAGTTGACAAAAATTGATCAAAACATCACCCATTGATGTTAGATTTAATTTTTGATGTTTTATAAATCTATTGGGGGTTTTTTAGAAGATTTTGAGTCCTTAAAAACATCTTTGAGGTGGAAGTTTGAAGATTAAGCAATCAAACTCAAAGTATGCGTGCCCTAAATACCTAATTTTTATTTTTTATACTATATATCCTTTTTTTATTCAAGTGGGCATCCTTTTTGGATTCGACTGGGCCACCCAGGTTCTGGGCGCCCGCCTAGGCACTGGGCGGCTTGAACCCCTCAGGCCGCCTAGGACCCGCCTAGCGCTTTTTGAAACACTGCACCTCCCCTCCCCCATCCCATCTTTGATTTGTTGCCGGATCCCATAATCACTCCATCCCTTCAACCTCTTATTCCTCTCCTTGATTTACTTTTGCCCTCCTTCCTCCTCCCCTCTGGCTCCGAGAAACTCTCTCCTCGATTCCCAGCCTCCCTCAACCTGCTCTGACCACCACCCCTCAACAAACTTAGCTTCCTCCCCTTCTCCTTCTCCACCTATAGTACGCTGAAACCGCTCTGGCAGCTCCTTCCGCCGCTTCCAATCCCCTATCTCCTTTACCAAATCACTCTCCCCTCCCCCTTCGCGCCTTGCTAGCCCCCCTTCACCTCCCCCAATTCCTTGGTTCCCCCTGCCACCCTCTCTTTTCCTGGCTTGGCCCCACTTCATCCAACCTGTTGCGGCGGTCTTGGTGGGAGTCTTTCACTCTCAGGTGTCGGCCCTCCCCCCCCGGATCGTCTGTACCCCCACTCCTGATTGGCCTTTCCTTTTCTCTTTGGGAGTGGGTCCCTAGCTTACTTCGATTACTTCAACCCTCCACCTTTGGCACCTATTCCCACTCCCATTGCCCCCTTTCCGCCTGTTGAGAATTCTAGTGTTTTCGCGGAGGTTGAGGCACCCTTGTTTGCCAACCCACCCTTGCCGCCCCCTCCTTGCCCCAACCCCCAATTCTGGATGCCCCTCACCCCCCTTGCTTCGGCATCTCCCCCCTCGGTCTTTCCCCCTTCATGTAGCGTAGCAAATATTTGCTTCCCCTACCCTCAAATGGTTTTAGTAGTTTTGGCTCCTTCTCATCCTCGACATTATTGGTGGGCTCTAGTTTTTGCTCCAGGATGGACAAGGCATAGGGTAGTGTCGACAAGGTCATGGGAGTCATCGGCTTCAAATTTGATGACTTCAAGTGGGATGTAAAAGCCTTCTTCAAATCCAACCCAGTGTCTAGGTTCAAAGTAAGTTTCAAAGCCTCAAGGGAACTCTCCAATCTCACTTGCGAGATCAATTATAATGTTTTTTGCCCAACCCACTCTAGCTCATCGCTGTCCTCGATGATTTTTTCCGTGTGCGTGTCTCCTCCAGACTTTCGTTTAGGAGATCTCTTTCCCTCCCCAGATAATGAAGGCTCTTATCTAGAACGTTCAGGGTCTTGGCTCCACTCAGAAGACTTAGGTAGTGCACACTTTTTGCTTCAAACACTCCTCGGGCCTCTTGTCCTTAATCGAGACCAAGCTTCCCTTTCTCGAAGTTCGACAGGTCTGAGGGCAAAGATCCTGTCGATGGGTAACCCTTGAGGCCACGAGAGCTTCTGGCGGTATCTGGTTTATTTGGGACCCATTGTCTTTCTCCCTTGTCAAGTCTTGGGTCAAAGCCCCATCAGTCGAATCTCTAACATATTGGACTGGAAGTTGCGATCTATGGACCTAACTCAAATCAATTTGCCTTGTGGCACGAACTTTACGAGGCAGCTACGCACCCTCCCTCTCGTTGTTGATAGGAGGAGATTTCAATGTTACGGGATGGTCACATGAGCAGAACTCTTCCTCTCGTATTACACTACCTATGCTCAAGTTTGCAAACTTTATTGTACGA